CCTGTGAGAAATGAACGTTGGACATTGCAGATCCTCTAACAGGATCTTTAGCAATACTTTCATTGCCGCGACGATCCTCGAATTGCATGATCTGGATTGGATCCGCTTAACTGGTTTCTGCATTGTGAAATTTCTCTGCCACCGACACAATGCAAGCACAGTCGGTGGTGTCTTTGATGTCACCCAACGCTATTGTTCATCATCTGCTTTTCTCAGTAGCCATGTTTCACATTCGCATATCATGCCTTTTACAAAGAGTGAAGCATAATCTATATGGCTTTCATGTCTCAAAGACATGAGCGATGCTATAAAATATGCCATCCGGCAGTCCTTTAATATGAAATCTCTGAGTGAAAAAGCTACTGTTTTTTTCCTAGGACTGCACGCGAGTTAACCGCATACATGCCCGTGTTTCTTATCGTCTTCTTCATCGATACATTGATTGTGACAGGCCTTGAACGAAATCAGGTCGATAATCCAGACAACCTTCATTATGTGAATGACAGCTCCTTCTCGTAATTATACAGGCAATCAAACACTCCGTCAGGCGAATGTTGCGCAGAACTTTTTCCGTAATTCGCGTAACCAGGCATGTTGCTCGTTTCATAATGAGTGGCGAACACTGTATATCAGCAAGTGGAATTTGTAGAACGATCACTCGGACGGCTTCCGAAAAAGCTTCACATGTGTAGTGGAGAAAAAAGGGACGAGCTGACAGTCTACTGTAACAAGAAACAAGGAAAACAAGTTAGAGAAGTTCAAAGTGTGCAAATGTGAAGGCAGTAAGCAGAAGATTTAGACATATCTGCGCTCGGCATATGTCTGTATCTCAACTACTCTGAGAATTCCACATCGGCAGTTTATAATTTATAGAATGGATGAGTGTTAGTTTTTCTAATTATACATCTCTTTTTAGGAAAAGAAAACAGCTACAGAGTTCCAGGATTCGAGCTAAGGCCGTAATCCTGAACACACATCAACGACATCCTGAAACGGCTAAAACCTTGACAAGTGCTTCGGTTGGGAGAACCGTTGAGCTGTTAATTCTTTCAGAAGACGAAG